CACTCCTGATTTTTCAAGATGGTGCTTCACCACCACGAGCATAGCAATTGCACTGACTTGATTTATGAAATGCTAACTTTTTGAACAAATTACTTTATCTACACAGGGTCAGGTTTGCCAGTTGATGCAAAATATGAATGGACTGATCTAAAGGAAGGTATGTCTTGTATAATATCAATGGTGTACAACTGCTTGAAACTAACGAGTCTCTGTTCATGCAGCTCTGTCACCCATTGACAAGGCTCATCAATTTGGCACTGAATTTCTCCAGGCTTTGGATTCAAAGTTGAGCATACTAGCTAAAGGTAAATTTCTGAAGTATTGAAAATGACTGTTAAACAAAAACTAAAGTGATTAATGATGCTAAACCTGAGACTTTAATGTGTTAATATGAAGATAAAAAAAAAAAGGCTAAAAAAACTTTCACTAAAATGTGTCTGTACCAAGATGCCAAAGAAGTGGAGATTGTGACTGCAGGCGACGAAGCCCACAACGTGACTGCAGGCGACGAAGCCCACAATTTTAACCTCAATTTAGTTCCTGACTTTCAGTTTGGGGGACATTGCAAATATGAAATGGGTGTCTCTGTGCACCTTCTTCCTGTCCAAGGTGTACCCCACCTATCACACTGATTTGCTGGGCATGCGCACCAGTTATCCCTGCAATCCACAAAAGGTACAGATTGTTATTAGTACTTGTGACCTAAAATGCCCGATTTTTGCACATGTTTGAGGGAATTTTAAATGATCTAAATTCAGTTCAATGTTAAAAGTTGCAGTGGTGGGACAGTATGTACTAATACTGGGATGGTTTCCACTCATTGCTTTAGTGTTGCATTTTCTGGCAGTGGGCTCATTTTCTCCCTCACTATTGATTTACTCCATACAAGTCTTATGGTAAATGGACTGTACTTGAATAGCACTTCTCTTATTTCAAGACACTTGGCGTGCTTTACACAATCTGTGCCCTCATTTACCCATTCATACAGCACTCTACAAAGCTAATTGAACAAATCATTCTAAAGAGACTAATCTGTGCTTTAAATCACATTCATACACTGGGACAATCAGAGGCTGAGGGGTTCAGTGTCTTGCCCAGGGACACTTCACGTGTCTGCTGGTGGGTTTGATCCTCCAACTCTCGCATTGGAGGACGACTGCTAACCACTCGGCCACAGCCGCCCCCATTATCATACTGCATTATGTGCTTGACTAAGTTTAGTTTAGCAGTCTCAATTCTAACAGTATATACACGGTGTAGGGTGGTGCTTGTTATGCATACTATTCTGTGGGTTTGCCAAGCCTGTGATTGGGCCTGGTTTTTAGAAAAGCATTCAAGACACACACACCTTCGGTGTCATTTCCTTTAGTCTGGAAAGTGTCACAGAAAAAAAAAAAAAAAACACAAATATATTTAAAAAAATCGGAACATAAGTAAAAGAATACAACATTAAGGCACAGATGCAAACTCACTCTAGCTTAAAAGCCAATGAAAAGTGTTTTTTAAACGAGTTTAAAAAAACCAACGTGATGGGGCCTTCCTGACTTCCAGCAGTAGCTCATTCCACAATTTAGGAGCCAGACAAAGAAAACAAGAGGACCAAGAATCGAGCCCTGGTGTACCCCCCAGGGGAGGGAAGCAGAGGTAAAATTATCCATCACACTGAAACTTCTTTCAGAAAGGTAGGACCTAAACCACTGCAGAGTTGAGCCAGTGATGCCCACCCACTGCTCCAATCTGGAGATGAGAATGTCATGGTTGACTGTGTCGAAAGCAGCTGTTAAATGAAATGAGGAGAGGCCTCGCAGATTCTCATAATCCGGATAATGCTGATGCTGCCAGTAGCTCCAGTGGGTATT